TCGAAGGAGGAATGGGCAAAAATGCTGAAGGATCGGGAGCCTAGGCCCTCAATCTGTCTGTGTTATCTTTATTTTTCCCTTTAATAAAATTTTTCCAATGATCAGTCACATCATTTGGAATATTTGTGGAATAAAGAATCAAGCATCGTTTCAGTGTTTGAAGTCTTTCATTTTGTAACCAATGTTGCCCACGTTGCAATTGGATGAAATGAGGAGGAGTTTGCATTTTGATACGGCTTTCTCGTTAGTGTCCAACAAAATTGGGTTTTTGCTCAGAAGGAGTACAAAATTAATCTTGTGGAGGAAGTGGAGCAAGTGCTTCATTTTGAAGTTTATCACATTCCAACTGATACAAAGTTTTACGTTTCGGCGGTCTATGAAAAAACAACAAAGCTGGAGAGACAAGTTTTATGGAGAAATTTGAAAAATTTCAGGCAGCAATTTTCGACATCGCTGTGGATAGTAGGAGGTGATTTTAAAGTTATACGTTCACTGGATGAATATTTGGGAACGTCTGTCCAAGACTATGCTGCGATCAATGATTTCAATGAGTGCATTCATGAATGTGATTTAATGGAGCTTCTATCGATGGGAGAGGACTATACTTGGAGCAGCACAAGACAAAACTTATGGTTTTGTAAAGTTGATCCGAGTCTTGTTTTCAGAGGAGTGGACAACCCTATTTCCTATAGCAACGGCCGAGCATTTGAATAAAACAATTTCTGATCATAGTCTGCTACTGCATCAGTTTAATGTTTCAGCCGAAAGCAAACAAAAGCTATTTAGATACGACAAAAAATGTTGCCGTGACGTTCAGAGTTTTTTGGTTTGCTTGAGGAGTCATGGAGCCAGCCAGTGGAAGCTTTTGAAATGCTAGCTTTTTCGATCAAACTGCGCCGGCTAAAGGTAAAGCTGAGGGAACCGAATAAGGCAAAGTTTGGCAATGTCTTTTGAAAATATTTAGGAGGTTGAAAACATGGTGTGAAATCTGAAAAAAGTTTATGATGATTCAGGCGAAGATAAAGACAGGATTGATCTTCATGAGGCAAAAGCATCTTTACTTGCTAAGCTAAAGGAACACGAGAACTTTTGGCAGCAAAATATGCAATTAAAATGGCTTAAAGAAGGAGATGCCTCACCTGTTTCTTCTATGTAACCTTGGTTGAGAGAAAAATCCACGCGGATGAAGGAAGTTGCCTCACTAATCTCATTGATATAGAAGGAGAGGCAATTTTGTTTTTCCAGAATTTGTTGGCGGAAGAGTTAACACATGGAAAGAAGAGTCAATTCAGAGATAAGTGAGATAGAATGGGAATTATTATTGAGATCGGTGGAGATGCAAGAGATCAAAAATGCCGTTTTTCAGCCTCAATGAAGATAGTGTTCCAGGAGCAGATGGTTTTGGAGGATCTTTCTATGGATCGTGTGGGAATATAATAGCAAATAATTTTATGAAGGGCATTCAAATTCCAAGAGCCATAGCCAGTACCTTAATTACTCTCATCCCCAAAAAGTCGTTGATAAATACTTTCTCTGATTTTATGCCCATTTGTCTTTGTAATTTTTTTAATAATATTTTGATAAAGATCCTAAATGAAAGGCTGAAAGAGGTGTTACCGAAGATTATGTCGGAGGAACAGTTTTTGCTTTTTTGACAGGTCATGACATTATTGATAACGTGATGTTGACTCAAGATCTCTATTAATTCATCAATCATAAATCAGAAGGTGATAATGTGATACTCAAGGCCGACATGATGAAAGCTTTTGATAGGGTGTCATGGGACTTTCTTGAGAAGGTTATGCTAAAATTAGGATTTCCTCCTATGCTCATTTTGTCGATCATTAATAACCCTTGAAATAGTTGGTTTTCTGTTAATTAATGGGAGTCTGGCTAGATATTTTCAAGCATAATGACAAAGCCTGGAATTGTATCACCGGCTTAACAGTGGAACTCCGGTAGGGTTTCCTACAAACTAGAGCCTCGGGGGTCTCTCGAAGGTAGACACTCTGATTCTTAAGTCAGAAAATAGGGTTATAGAATCACATATGTATGTGTATTGGAGCTAGAGATACCGTACCGTAATAGTGGAGTAATCATCCCTATTTATAGGCATGGGATAACCTGGAAGGTGTCCGAATCCTACTAGTTTTAATGTTACTTCACCACCTCAACAGAGCCGGTTGGACCCTTTACTCGGTGGATGGGCCGGTCCAATCTCGGTGGTGGATATGGACTTGTCACATAATGAGGAATAAAACAAGTAGATCCATTATCTCCTTATTTATTTCTTTTGATCTCAAAAGCAATGACAAGGAGGTTGAAATTTTTAGTGGATTCGGGGAATATAGCATGTTATGGTACTCCAGCGAGGTCATTAATGGTCTCTCATCTTTGTTTTGCTGATGATTTAGTCATTTTTACAAGAGCTCTGAAAAAATTGTTGAAGGACCTAAATGGTTTCTTTAAAATGTATGAAGCTGCATCCGGTAAGAACATTAATTGGCAAAAAAGTATTTTTGTGGTGTCGGAGGAATGCAATAATTTTAGAGTTGAGATCATGAAGAGAATCTTAGGTATGTGGAGAGGGTCTTTCCCATTTGTATATCTTGGATGTCGCATTTTTAATGGCTCGAAGCAAGCATCTATCTTTCAATTTCTCTTGGATTCTTTGGATGCAAAGTTGGCAAGCTAGAAAAATAAAATGCTGAGTCAAGTGGTAGACTTTTGCTTATTAAACATGTTCTCTCGGCTATCCCCATTCATGTTTTTTCAGCTATTCATCCTCGAAAACCTATGATTGCCAAGATGGAACAAAAGTGCCAAAGGTTTTTGTGGCGGGGCGCGGAAGAAGATAGGAGAAGACAATGGAGAGCTTGGGATTGTCTTACTTTCCCAACTTCTGACAATGGCCTTGGTTACAGAAATTTCAGGAAGTAGTTGATGCTTTTTCTGTTATGGTGGAAAATCAAAATGCAAAAAGGATTGTGGAGCGAATTTGTTTTGTCCGTGTTCCCTTCAGCGAGAACAAAAACATCTTGGTCGCGGGTAATGAAGATTGATCAACTCGCGGTAATCCACTCTAAAGTGCTGACTCGAGGGGGAAATTGATCATTTGGTTTGATAACTGGTCCCCTTATGGACTCATTTGGGATATTCAAGATGTGGAACCACCATTTCTGAATCCAAGTATAAGAGCTTTTTTTTTTCAGAATGAATCTCAATATTTGGCCAAAATGCAACATGCCCTAACTGGTGAAATTTTTAGCTTCTTAGTTGATCATGCACCATCTTTTCTGAAAGGGACGATGAAATAGTGTGGAAACATACTTCGAATGGTAAATTTCCATAAGTTTAGCTAATTCAGCAATCAGGCGGAGAAATGCGGAAAATCCATTATTGAAGAATGTATGGAATAAATTGATACCTTTAAAAGTTTCAATTTTCATGTGGAAGATGCACAACAGATTGTTGCCCTTTCTAGAGGTTCTTAGTTCATTTGGAATTTAGATTTACCCTTCTGTTTGTTGCTTTTGCAATAGCACATTGATAGTATGTCGCATTGCTTATTTGATTGTGAATATGCAAAGCGTGTTTGGAACTTTTTTGCAGCGGCTTTTGAGATTGATGCGAGGAGTATTTCTAGTCTATATGAATTTGTTCAGAAGTGGTAGAAGAAAGGGAGTTTTCAAACAGCAAAAAAGTCTCTCAAAAAGGTGATTCCATCGTTGATCATATGGGAGATTTGGAAGGAAAGGAACAAAGAGATGCTTCAAGGTAAAGAAGTCTCGGATCAAAGATTAATCTAAAGGTGGTCCATAATCTAAAGGTGGAGCGGGAAGAAGAGAAGAAGTTTATTGACAAATTGTTTGGCATCAAACTCACCGGGTACTTACGGAGAAATTATTCCACGATTTGTTGGACTCCTCCAACCGGGGAATACTATATCTTAAATTCAGATGGATCTTATGCAAAAAAGAATGTTGGCTATGGCTTCATAATAAGAGGGATTGGTGGATCTTTTAAGTATGGAGAGTTAGTTATTTGGGAGATGATGATGTTTTGAGAGCTGTGATACATGGTATTCTTTTTGGTTTGAGAAAGTGTGAATACTTGAATTTATCTTTGGTTCAAGTGCAAAATGATAATAAAGACTTGGCAGAAATGTTGAGCAAGCAATAAGTCTTTCCATGGCGCTTCTTATTTCAATTGGAGGAAATTTCTACAATCCTTTAGAGAAGAGTACTCTATAAGTCATATATACCGGGAGGCAAATTTGCTGCTAACAATTTAGCAAAGATGGCATCTTCGAGAAGCTCATACTTTTTTTCAACACATAGATAATCTGCCTAAGATAGTGAAAGGACTCTTGATATTAGATCAATTTTCCTTCCCTTACCTGCATAGTCGTTCAGACTAACTGTTTTTTGTACTTCCTTTGTGATTTTTTGTATGTGGTAAGATATATACATTGCCCCTTCTTGTGAATTAATGAAATAAAATTGGGGAGCTGCTCTCTACGTCTACAATGGTAACAATATTCATCCTGGAGGTATATCCTCTTTGTGTATTGTGCCTTTCTATTCTTAGTTCATCGATTATCTCCTTTGTTACAAAAAAAAAAAAGAGAGTAATATTTATACTTTATCCTAAGCCTTCCAAATTAAAAATAATATAAAATTTGATAAAAAAAATTCAATTCTTTTATTATTTTGCATATAAGTTTAAGAATTAAATTTTGAACTTTTTTTATTAATTTAATATCTATTTTAAACTCAATGATTTTATGCAAACAAATATTTTAATAGGTATATGAATATTTTATTCATTTTTTTAAAAAATTAAAACATTTTGTTTCAAATATACCCCTTAAATATGGTGAAAGTTTGATAAGACTCGATGAATTATTCTTTTATACAAAGGTTAGTATGACATATAAACTAGAAATAATTCACTTACAAATAAAATCAAAAGTAAGCATAAGAATAAGTTATCATCACCTGGTAACAAATTTGGAACACAAGTTTGCTGCATTAAGGTCGAGACAAGGAAGAGGGCCATATGCATATACATGCAAATTTGGATATGCATGATACAACTGCAATAGATGAGCGTGACAGAAGCAAAGCATCAACGTCAACATCCTTATCTTTGAAAAAAGTTACACTTAACAATTTTAAAACTAAAAGAGATCTACGAATCCTATGCAAGTCAAAGACAAATACAAAATGGGAAAACTTGACATTTATAATGGAAGAACAAAGTCAATAGCAAGAAAATTCTATATCCAAAGGGAACTTTTCTCAAAGAACAACACACTTTTCCTGGTTTAACACATAGCTGGAGGTTATAAATAAAAAGATCTTTAGTAATGATTAATTCGTGGCTTTAAGAGATAACGATTGAAGTGTCTCATTAGCCCATGAAAATTATTGATCTTTTCATTCCTTAATGAAAACTAACCTGTGCCAATTCCATTAACAAATGAAGGACTAATTTCCAGATATAAGTTCAACTAGTATGGAGTGGGAAAAGAGGAAACTTTCATCATAACCTTACTTTTTCTTCTACCCTCCCAACTCACTACCACAAATTAATTTAACACCACCTTATTCAATGTGTTAATTCCACAAAATTCCCTATATCTTACACAAAAAGAGATTAAAAAAAAGATGGTTTCTTCTGTTCTTGCCAAACGTCGTAGCAAATCAAACATTTATACTTATCTTCATACCATTAACATCAGTTCACAAAACTCATCATCTGCTGTATATTTATGTGATACTTATGGATCCACAAAAGATGATAATACCCTTTACCGTGAGTGTTATGATATTGGGGAATTTTCTTCGAAAGTCATGTAAATAAATGTTAAGCGAATTGATAAGAAGATAAATTGTCTTCCAAAAAACTCACTTTGTTTGTACGTGCTTTTGCAATATACAATGTTGCTTTTGGTTTAACATTAAAAGGAAAGCCACGCATGAAGAGTTTAAATCAAATGCACAGTGGTCTCATCCGAAAACCTAACACTGCAGCAATAGCTCCTCCTAGAGAATGCCCAACAATTTGAAGGTTATAAACTTCACATTCACAACCAACTCCAAGCAAAGAAGAGAGAAAACCACCTGATGGTTGCACATAAAAAAAAAATCAAATAATGGTTTCAAACATAAATAGAAAATGTTATAAATTTAATAAGATTGCCATATAGTAGTCGAATAAAAATGTAATATCTTAGACTTTGAGGAAGTGAATAAATTTATTTAATGATATCAAAAAGACACTATTACATGAGAAGATTAAAGTTCTTGTAACATAGAAAAAGATTCACTAATAATAACTATAAGGCTAACTATTACCTTCACTTTGGTTGTACTCTTCTAAAAGCAATTAGACATACAATATTTTGTATCCAATTGTAATTAACAAGCTTATATAGCTTCTTTCTAGTTTTTACATGATTTTGATTAGCAAGAGTGTATATGTTTTAGAGAAATTCTATTTGTCACAAAAAAAATTACCCCTCTGATTCGAAATATCCTTCACGTCATTTAATTATTATTGATCATGAAGTGTATTGGAATTAGAGAGAAAAATGTTTGTTGAACCGGAGACTAATAATCATTTTTATTTATTAATTTTTTACATATATAAATAATTGAACTAGATGTGATGGACGCATAAGTTATTATGAAAGATGTAATTGCTTGTAAATATTATTAGTGTTCTAATTTAAAGTTGTAAGGTATTGAAGATTTGACACCTTATCTGAATTAGTATCTAAGCAATGCGAATTTGATAGTGTTTCTTGGATTGAGTACCTAAATTACGATGTAATTCAAAGCAAAACATACATGATTGTAAAATAGTTATGTCCTTAGATATGGGGTAACAAAATGGAGATTTACAAATGCAATATTTAAATCACTATCTATTAGTGGTATTACAGTGTTCATTTATGCGGTTTAAGTTGGAGTCTTTTATTGGGACACTTATTTGAACAACCTAATCAACAACTTAGTGTTATTCCCATGATCCTAGGTCTGACATATTTTTAAAATATTCACGATGCAACAAAATTGTGATGAAAACAAAGATGTGAGCAATATTGTTATATACACTCTTGGGGGATTCACTATGTTGTTTACTTTGCCTTATTATCATTTGAATTGTTGAAACTTTATTGTTATTCTGTTTTGAACTTTTAGTTACTTGAATTGCATTTAGAAACTATTTCATCATAGGTTTTATATTTGATCCATTCCTCCCTATGTTCGACGCTTGGTCCATTAACTACTATATTACCTTATTTTAAGTTGATAGGTTTTACAGTTGATCCTCATGTATTTGGTAATTTATTAGTTTCATAACTTGACAATTGATAATCCATGTTTGAATATCATCAATTTACCAATCATTTATCCCAAGCACACAATGAAGTAATCAGAACTTGAGTCTATATGTTTCAAAGTCCATGTGGATCAACAATTATAATAAAAGTTAACTGATAACAAAAATAAAATGTTATTGATGATTGAGAAATGATTAACTAACCATGCTTGGAATTCCCTTCAATTTGCATATAAAGATCTTGAGAAGCCTCAACTACACCAGAATGGCCATAATGTGTTTGTGAGGAAACAAACTTCCGAGATTTTCCAATTAGCATGTTATTACCACTACATAAAAAAATTTATCCAGTAAAATAGAGAACAATAAAAGATTCTTAATCAATGAACAACTTTTTAATAACATTTTTACTAAATATAATGTTTTCAAATTGTCAAGTCATAAGTTTCTCAACATAAACACCCAAAACTTACTCTTTTATTTAACATTAAGATGTTGCTACTTCAACAATGCTATGTTATGCTTATATGCCTATGGACATTCAGTTTGTCCTAATTAAGTAATTCTTCCCGAGCCTACCCACCAAAACATGCATAATCTAATAAAGAGATTATAATATACTCCCTCCGGTCCTTAATATAAGGCATTTTGATTTTGTCCTAGATTCACCTAGTATATTTTCTTGTATTTTCATATTTTTTTTGTCAGTTAAAAATGCGTACTAAGTTAAACCTTGGACAAATTAAAATGGCTTATATTAAGGACTGATGGGAGTATTAGCAAACTAATATACCAATTAATGTACAAAGGAAATTTTTATTGGACAATAAATGTTCATTAAGTTATGCATGGACAAATCAAGTCACATATACCAAATAATTAGATTTAATCTATGGTCTTTTAACACATTTGCTACATTCCAGTATTTGAAAAATCGAAAAGAAATAATATTGTTCTTTCTTTCAAGTCTCCCAATTTTTATTAAATCTCTTTCTTTCAACATTGTTCAGTTTGTAATTTCAAAATGGTCTTAAAAAATGTAGCTAATGATTCTAGACTGTTCATTCTTCCACGAGAAGATTCCAAGTTATTACACACAAAAAAAAACCAAAAAAATAAAATAGTGATTTCTAATTTAAATTTCATTAATAGGACTCTACTTATTTTTAGTTGTTTACTCAAAATAAAATTATTGTTCAAAAATTATTGAAATATTTGAACGCCAACATCCATAATTTCCTAACTAATATTTAGAGGAAAAAAGTTTGTTTTTCTTAATTAATTATACTTTTTCCACTGTATATACACCACCTAATGCCTAAATGTTATTGTCCAAAGCAAAAAACTTCACAACCTAACAATTAGCAAAAAGAAAAAACGGAAACAATTTATGACTCACTTAATTAGATAGTCCAAGTGTTCAATGTTAAGGTTGCGTTCCCTACCCAAACCATCCGTGATCAAATCTTCTGGAGTCTCAGTTCCTCTAACAGCAATCACAATAGATTTTAGATGATGCACAACCACGATGAAGTATGATGCTTTACAACTACCCTGAAAATTTTCATTAAAGGAACATTCAAAATTTAATTTTAATATTAATAATATAGTTGTTTGAGAAAGAAAATTAATCATGAAGAATGTTAAAATTTAGTAGCTCAATGGGTCCAAACCCTCCTAAGCTATCCATAATACCCCTCGATTTTCTTTGAATTTGTTTTCATATATATAATATAGTACACATCTACAAATGATATTTGAAGTCATGGACACATAAGCTAGCTAATATAGTTGTGGACATTATAATAACAAAAGAGATGATGTCATCATATATACAATACCGTATTTAAAAACCAAAAAAACTTGACAACGAGGTTAGAATGAACTAATGAAGGAATAGAAAGAATTACAAATGTGGGTTTCTTGTCTTTGTTTTTCAAGGAATTTCGGGGGACATTAGGGATACGGATATAGCTAGAGAATCAATGTACTTCAATGATAGATCAGATGTGCCAACAATGGCCAAGGGTTTGCTAACTCTTGATTAACAAGCATTTCCCGACTTACGTGTAACATAAATACTCATAGGACAAGTTCTCTTCTAATTTAACTTACGTAGAGGGATATAGATATAAAATGTGGTTTTGTCGATATGATGAGAACTTGAAATCTTGAAAATTATAAAAATAGTTGGGGAAAGTTGGAATCTCAACATTAATGATGAGATAAAAATTTGTCTCCCTTTTTACCCTTTTTTCTCTCAAAAACCCTAGCAGTGGTTGTTGTGAAGCTCTAGTTCTACGACCAATATGGCCGGCGAACAACCGGTGTAGGTCCTTGTTAGACCTCCACAAACCTTTGTTAGCGTTTTCCAAAAGGACCCCGATCTAATATCACGAAAAAGCTCCATGATCAAGCAGGTGAAGTACATTAATGGAATGCCAGTTATGGAATATGAAGATGAGGAATTTGAGCAACTTGTTACACCATATAGATTTAGTCTTGTTGGGAAGTTTTCATATGGACGTCCGAAGATGGAGAAGATGCACAAAGAATTCAAGAAGATTGAGTTTCTAGGAGGTTACACTGTTGGATTGATAAACCTTGGGCATAGTTTCATTCGGTTCAAAAAGGAGGAGGATTGCCAGCGTTCTTAGATCTGTAACATTTGGAATATTTATGGTTTCTCAATACGAAAACTAAAATGGAGGCCGGAGTGTTGGTTTGACGAAAACCCACCAATTGTTCTATTTGGGTGTCACTTTTTAATCCACCTATTGAATACATGATTCTGAAAGTGCTCTTCTTCATAGCCACTGCAATAGGAAAACCATTAAAGGTTGACACACCAACGCTAAATACTACTCAGCCATCGGGGGCCAAGGTTCTGTGTGGAGGTCGATTTAACTAAGGATTTTCCAAAATCAGTTAAGATTGGCAAAGAAGGAAGAAAGCATGAGCAGTTTTTTACATACAAACACATTCCATCTTACTGCACCAAATGCACTTAAGTTGGACATAAAGATGAAGAATGCCGAGTTGGAAAATCACACCAGAAGAGATAGCAAAAGCTCCGATGGTAAAAAGAAAAGTAAAGGTATTGTAATAAAGCTTGCTACACTGAAGTGGAAGCCAAAGAGTCATATAGAGAAGGCAGTGAAGGATCAAACACTTCGAATGGTAATTGGAGTTTCAACTTCAAGATTGTCCGAGAAAGACAAGGAGAGGATCCTAGTTGACATTCCTGACAAATCAACCCTTAGTCATCTACAAGTTTCAGTAATTAATGATGGACAAAAGGAAAAATCAGAGCGGGAGATGGAAGGAGTAAAAAAACAAAAACTTGATCACTAATGAAAGCATTGTATCTCTGTAAAAACAAATGTTTCCCTCGGGAAGTTGAACTGTTGAATCGATTTGCCTTTCTGCATGTTTCAAACAAATTGGAAACTGTGAATGATAGCTGAAGGAGGAAGAGATTGAGGAAGTATTCACAAAGCAAATTACCCAGAATCAAAATAACAAGAAGGGTAACGAGATTCAAGCGGAGTTAAAAAATATGGAAAATACAGATTCTGTCTGGCTTGGGAAACAATATTTTCATAATGATGAAGTCCTTGGTCGAACAAGGAACATGGATGAGGAAGAGGAGTAGGATCATGAAGTTGGGAAATGGTCTAAAGGAGAAAAAGATGAAGCTAAATTGGAAGAATTAGATAAAGGACAACTGATTGTAAAATAAAAGCATGGTGAAAAATCGAAGGAGAGGGCGAAGATGCAAGAAGGGTTAGAGCCTAGGTGCTTGGCTTAATTGAAGTAAGTCAATTTTTCCAATCGTTTCCAGTGATTAGTTAGATCATTTGGAATATCAGGGGAACTAAAAATCAAGCCTTACAACGCCTCTTGAAAGCTTTAGTTGGACTACATCATTTTTTTTCTTAATTATTTTTAACCAATGTTGTCACTATATAAACTCTAGAGTTGTTAAACGAACTGAGACTAGCGCGAGTACCCACGAGCCGCTTAGTGGATGGCTCAAGCTTGGCTCAAGTTTGACCGAATTTGAGCTGAATTTGATTAGTACTATACGATTCGGGCTCATGTTTTGATTTTAACACTCGAAAACTCGATGGGTAGCTCGGCTCTTTAAAATGTAAAAAAATAAAAAATTATACGTGATATTTTATCATTTATATATTTTGTATATAGAATGTTTTTTGAACAAGATAATTCCCCTCTGAATGTCATTTTACATGTGGAAACTGCGGAATAAATTGCTCCCTTTTCCTGAGATTCTTCGCATGCTTGGATTTTATTCTTCGCCATCAATTTGTTGTATGTGTGAGAAACATGAAAATTCTATAGACCATTTCTTTTTTGGCTACCCACAAATGAAATAATATGAAGATATTTGGCCATACATTGCAATATTGCAATGCGTTCTTCTAGTGCATTATGGTCGTTTCTTGCGGGATGGTGATCGAAAAATATCTTCACTACTGCTTTAATATCCATTATCAAGGATGTTCCAATTGTTGTTTTATGAGAGCTCTTGAAGGCAGAACAAAATAATGTGCTGGCGTGCCATTGTGTTCAAATGAGATCATTGCATCGGTTAAGCAACATGTAGAAGGTATGCAATTTTCTCATTATATTCAAGTCTCTTCTTCTGCTGAAAAATGTTTTTTGTAATAGTTTTTCCCGACGTTGCAGTTTCAGATTAAGCTTCAATCCACTAAACTTGTCAGTTGGAAGCCTCTTGATCCTAATGCTTTAATTCTAAATTCTAACGGTTCTAAACTAGGGAAAGCAAAGAGTTTTGGATATGGTTTCTTAATTGGGGGAGAGCAAGGGTCTTTCATATATGGAGAATCGGGCTATTTAGGAGAGGGGAACAACCAAATAGGCGAGCTATATGGTTTATTATATGGTGTTCGAAGACATGCTTTGGTGTGTCTGTTTAATGTGGAAATTTATATAGATAATAAATTAATAGATTATGTCATTAACAAAGGAGGCCCTTTCCCTTGGCGATCTTATCTTGATCTAAGAAAATACAATACAGTGATATACTATTGGATGCCGGAACTACATGTTGACACATATCTATAGGTAGGCAATTGATGTGGCCGATAGATTAGCTCTTGAAGCTTCATTGGGGCACTCTAAGGTTTATTTTCATCGGAACGACCTTCTTGCACAAGGTCTCTTGCCATTCGATATGTAATTTTTTTTCCATATATTAGGAAAGATAAATGAGTCAAAATGCTTGCTGCTAGTGTCCTTGGCGGGAGGTTCATCAGTAAGGTGGAAGTAAGCATTTGGCCATAACCGTTACCAGTCTCCTCGTAGAGAAGCTTATTAGTAAGGTTTTGCGATCATGAGGAGGGTTGATTTGCCATGATCATTAACCAACGTCCTTGATGAGTTTGTTCTACAGTAAGATGGTAAGCTCATGTGGATGTTTATTCATTCAATAGTTTTTCATAATATTTATACTTTCCTGTCCCTTGGAGAAAAGTAGATAGAGCTATCATGGTTTTTGTAAATCTTTGTGAGACAGTCTCTAAGTATGGTAATAGGATATCTTTGTAAGACAATTCATAGAAGTAATTGTAACAATACTGGCATGGTGTTTTTGGAAAAATTTTTGTACGACGGATTCTTTTGATTTGGGTTAGTCTTAAGTATTGCATTTTGTACTATTCTCTTTTATATCAATAAAATCAGGGTCCTACTGCCAGGTACCACCCTGGAGTAAATAATATCATGTAGAAGGTTCTTTGGTACGCTTTGTCTTCTACTTTTCTCCAATCCACTTTTACCGTTGAGCTAATTAGATTTGCCTTATCTAACTTTTGTCCTCTCACTCTCAATTTTTTATATTCTGCCAGAAATTGAATCTTTTATTCTTTTTTTGTATAATCTTATTAATCCATCCGTATAGCTGTAATTTGGTAACTCATGGCTGAAGATGGATTAAAACTCAAACCCTAGTGGCCATTTTTCAGAAGGTATATGCAAATTTTTATTTAAATTTTTCTTCTAATAAATCTTGTTGATGCATTTTGATATTATTATCCTAATTCTTGAATTCTATATTTCGGTATGGCACTCATTTTGTCATTTTTTGGAGGCCAAAGTTTAAATTTTTTGCCCTCATTGTTTTCGTTTTGGTGTTTGAATTCTATGAAATTTATGGTTGTTTCCTAGTACCTATATTTGAAGTTGCGATGTGAGCTTTTATATGTATGTGAGATTGTGGGGTATTGGCAAATTAGTTGCATGTCAGCCTTATGTTATATTATAGAACGTAAATAAAGTCTTACGATTCTTTATTCATACTTCAACTAGGAAGAATCTAATTTGTTTTGCTAGGCTTTGTCTTCCAAAGTTCATTCGACCAGATTATAGATGGCTTATGCATGATGGTGGAATCAAAATTTCTTTTTTTAAAGTATGACCTCTGTTTTATGAGTAGAGAATCAGAAACAATTATGAGATTATAAGCTCTTCTTGGTCGGTTTGAGATATGTTTCATTTGACGATGATGGACGACTAAAGTCCAAATTAAAGTCACAAGAAAAAGATTTTCAGCAAGGGTACAATGACCTAGTCGTCAAGGATTGCAAGTTGTCCAAGAAGTTAACGGGCAAATCGTTTTTTAAAACATAGATTTCTACATATTTCACAATTATTTTTCGAAGGATTTTTATTTTATTCTACGAATTTCAATGAATTGATTTTATTTCAGAATATTCTAATTAGATAACTATGAGATTGCACATTTATTCAATTAAAATTAAGTAATATCATTGTATAAACCCAAATTTAACTAGATTTTGTGGATTTATGCCAAGATTTCATTTAGCAACTGCTATTGACTATTTAAGGAGAAAATTTTGGCCTCGACAGTGGCATGAATAATCAAAATTTTAAAATTACAAACTGGATATGTTCCTCCTTGTTTTTTCGGCCTGTTGTAGTTCTTTTTGGCTTGTTTAAACTAGCTTTACTCACAGTAAGGGGCGTGCAATTAAAAGTGGTGCCTTGATTTTTGGAGCTTCATAGACACCATTTTTTAGGGACCATTGTGATCTCTTCCCCTATAAGTCTTTAAGGGTTGGTCAAAGGTGTGTTTGCCTATAGGTTGAATTTTCAACCACTTTTGTTTAAGTTTTTGTGGTTTGAATTTTTGTTAGTTTTTGTGTTTTATTTTTGTGATTTCACTCTATTTGGACTTTGAATATTGTACTCAAGAACCTTCAAAGATTATTTTGTAGATATTAAGGAATGATCACATCTATTCAGTTTAAATATTTTTCATTTCGGGCAAATACATGTAAGGTTAGTGACAATGGTTTAAATGATTAACACATCAGTTCTTTTAAATTTTACTCGTAAATATTTCATGCATGTATCACTACTCGAATTTCTAAACATGAATATCCTCAAGAATAATGATTATAGACACATCTATTTAATCTAATACTTTCCATTTGGGGTTCATATTATTTAAGGTTAAGGAGATAGTTTAAATTATAGATACATTCCTTCTAGGTTTTAATTGATATATTCTCACTGCTCAACAAATCTTGAACACAATGCCAAATGGCTAGGCATATATTAAAAATTAAAGAATAAAACAATCTTACTTGATTTATACATCCTTTTTTGAGCGCATCTGGTGTTAACTTGACATGCCTTAAAAAAGCTGCAGCATGCCCTCGCCACCAATTGTCTCCTTCATTATCGGCCTCCTGCACAAATTGCACTTTCAAGATAAAAAATATCTCACAATACAGATTGTAGGAAATAACATACATTCTCCTTCATGCAAGGTAGAAAAAAATTTGCATGTCATTTTGATATGTTTTAATCTCACTTGACTATTTGATGAGTGTCACTTAGACATAATTACGAGCGTTTTCACACTTTTTTATTTGTAAAATAGTAGCATTTTCAATAGAATTGTATCCTATTAACCAGTTTCTGCATATTCCTCTAATCAGGGGACTCAATCAAAACATCGGCAAAATTCGGTGCAAAATTGGTGAAAAAGGCGAGGGAAAGTTGATCGGGCTGAAGGTGCAGTTTTGAAGAACATGACCACTTCCAGCTTTTCCTATTTCCAGGGAGTAACTTTAGGACCAATTCTTTAGCTCAATTCATATCGGAAAAGGGCAAAAATTGGCAGCCAAAGAAGAGCAGTGCAATGTGGCTCTGTGGTCCAAAAGATCGATGCTTAATGACAACAAAGAGCAGCTGGAAGCAAGTTGAAAAACCAAGGAAGGAATGGACATTCCTGATGTTGCTGTTGTTGGGATATGTGTCAAAATCTGACTGAAGAAGCAAGTTGCTGCCGTTCTATAAAAGGAGAATGATATGCACATTGTAAAGAGAGGAGCCAAAGGCTTAGATTAGCATAGGAGGATTAGGGTTTAGCGCAGTAATGAGTGAGGAGAGAGCTCTACAGCAGAGCCTTCCAGAGCAGTTAGCAAAGAGATAGTCTCCCAGGCGAGTGGCATTTCAACTCGTCTGAGTGTTCTGTTGCTCGTCTAAACTTTGTATCTTTTTACCTCTGTTCAGTTCCTCTTCTCTTCTAATCATACTTTGTTCTCAAATCTTTGTAGACTTTGTTTAACATTATGAATAGCTAGATCTTTTGTTGGGGTTGAATCCCCCTTTCCATTTGAAGATGCTTTCAATTTGGAATTGGACGATGTTAGTATGCCCAGTTTTAGTGTTTGAATAAACCTTGTGTTTAGTGTGATCAACTGGACACTTGTCCATACATACTGAGGGAATCCCTGATGGGTAAACTCAGTTTAGAATGACTAAAATCTAGCTGGTGATTTAGATACTCTCTAAGGTTTCAATGAGGAACGAAAGATACCCAGATGGCACATGCGGTAAGTTAGACTCTAGAATTGTAAAGGCTGGCCATACTAAATGTCTTACCTAGAAGGGATCACATTAGTCACTGGGGGGACGCTCCTAATTCTCTTGGAAGAGGTTTAGGAGCTGAAAAATGTCTGACCGAAAACCCTTCGTGTCACATGAATGCATAATCACTGTAGAAGTAATATAGAAAGAGAGAAGGATCCCCATGCTCCCTTACTCTGCTTTACTCCCTGCAATATTCTCTAAGTTGCCATCTTTCATGCCCTGCTACTCCCATTTACTTGTTTGCTTCCGGTTTGTTTCCTATTACTTTACTGTTTCGTGAGGAAGACCATCACTCACGTGAGTAATGACAACTCTCACGTGAGTGGCCCTGCTCCCTTTCGTCTGTTTTGGTTTGACTTTGCGGTGATCTAGCTGTTCCGGGACAGTTACTGTTGTCCTCACGGGTTTGACCCGACTTATTACTAAATTCATAGTTTTAAGTTGGTTTATAAATTTCTTTTTGGTAGGCCTCGACAACCACACCATTATAAAATTGTAAATAAAATGGAAAGATCATAGTATACAAATAAAGAAATGGCGATGGAACCGATAATTACCTATTACGACTCCAAAGATTGAACACCCCTTGCCTGTAGAGCCATGCGCAAGGAAATATCAGTGGGCTCCTTCCAACATCAAGTAAAAGACCCTAAAGACAGTTTTGAAGTTCACTGACAAATCAAAGGACATCACCAGTGACAAAATAAAGTAACCAAAAGACAACTACCGTATATGCAGCTTCAGCAAATTGATGAAATACAACAGTGTCTTGGATTCGTCCTCGAGGTATCTCCAATGACTCATCATATGGTGCAGAAAGTGTTTGCAACTTTGTAATAGTGCAAAGCCTACGAAGGAAAAAAGTGGATGGGGGGATTAGATTTTTTTATGCATTTGTGACTTATTTACAATCTAGATCGTAAATTCAAAAACTAAAACATCAAGAAAATATAAATAAAATGATTATAATTTCCTAAACATGTCTTAACTCTCCTAAATGTGTGGTGATAATTTATCTAAACACTTTGATTGATTTTTCTAATTGACTTATTAATTATCACCTCTATTCTACAATTTTTTGCCATAAAAATGGAGATTGAATTCTCTCTCTCTCTCTCCCACACACACACACACACACACAAATAGGCAATGGCCCTACTGAACCATTGACAACAATCACCAGCCTTTTCTAGCAACAAATGAATCAAAAGTATCAGATACGCACACAAATCAACCTGGTAAAGTTCGTCTATGGAACACAACAGGTTGATCTTGATGATAATCAATATGAAAAAATCACTGAACTCGTTTTGTGGAAGCCAATCATCCACATAAGACCAAATATTAGATATGAAAAAATTCACCAAAAATATTATATGTGTGTGTGTATACATCTATATATATATGTAAGAATGCACAAACCTGCTAAGAAATGTAAATGCCCAGCGCCTATTGCACGGTACGTCACAAGATCACCAAGTAATTGAGCTACTGAATAGATATCGTCTTCCTCTTGAGAAGATCTATGCCAACAGTAAAAATAAATAAATATTTTTTTTATCCAAGGAAGAGACTTACATATTGACTTACATGTACTCCACATGTCCTAGACAACACAAAGCTTCGCGAATGCCATGATCAAATATTTCTTGATAATGTGCCTTCCAAAGATTGCACTCATTTGCATAGAATGATCTCCATTTTAAAACATCAGATCCTACACAACATTGGACAAGCGTGGTGAAACATAAAACAATCACAAAAATGAAAAACAAGTCCATCATCTCCTTTGTTCCATTAAAAGTAATCCCTACAATATAATCACCAAATTTCATTAGTTTTAGTACCATATATAATTAGAAATATCTTTCATCATGAGAAAATCTAAAAACTTTCTTTGACACCTTTTCCATACTTCATTTTGTTAGAGTGGTTCATAATAACTTGGAAAATGTTAAACTTATGTCAACTTTCTCCTAGTTTGGAAAATTCTACTTTGTAAATAAAACAAATAAAAATAAATAAATTTTTAAGTGAGAAATTATCATTTGTAGTATCTTGATCACATCATTGCAAAGCATAAGTGGAACGTTAGAAAGTGGTTTGCAAAGCCTTCCTTGGAGCAGAGGCTGGATCGGGCTATCGCGAGTCTCCAAGCACAGAAGTGCGGGCTTGCCCACAAGAAGGGTGTGTCCCGAGCCGTGGAAGCACTACTAGACTGCCTTGTAGATGAAGAGATCGAGTACATACAACCGGTTCGTGGGATGGAGGACGGTTGCTATATGTCAACTTCATTGTGAACGGAAAGTTCATTCGAGCAATGATCGACACCGGGGCATCTCATAATTACCTCTCACACACGAAGGTGGAGAGGATGGGCTTAGTTCTCACCAAGTCCACAGGAAAAGTGAAGGCCATCAATTCAACGGCTCAACCCATAATAGGGGTAGCCAAGAATTGCAAGGTGAAGGCATGATCATTTGTGGCACAAACAGAGTTCTATGTGGTGGAGATGGAAGACTTCAAGTGCATTATTGGCATGGACTTCCTGCGGGCTTTCCAAATTACCATCTATCCTTATGGCAATGCATTGATCGTGCTGGGGGACAGACCATGTATGATCCAAGGGACTACAGAGAAGGGCGAATAGGGGAACATCTCTGCCCTGCAGTTCAAGAAGGGCTTGAAGCGGAACGAGGTGATCTACCGAGCTTATCTTTGCTGGGATGAGATCGAGGAAAAGTTGAGGCGTGTGGATTTGTCTGTGAAGCAGTTGTTGGAAGAGTTCCAAGATGTCATGCCGGATCAGCTACCGAAGCGGCTGGCTCCCAAGCGCGAAGTGGACCACGAGATTGAGTTGATCTTGGGGACAAAGCCACCTGATCGCGCTCCTTACCGGATGTCACAACCTGAGCTTGCAAAAATACGCAAGCAGCTAGCCGAGATGCTTGAGGGTGGCATCATCGTGCCGGCTAAATCCCTGTATGGTGCACTAGCATTATTCCAAAAGAAGAGCAATGGTACCCTGGGGTTTTGCATGGATTATCGGGCGCTCAACAACATTACTGTGAAGAACAGATACCTGATCCCGCTCGTGGCTGATTGCTTTGATCAACTTTGTCGTGCCAAGTTCTACACTAAGATCGACCTACGCTCGGGATACTGGTAGGTTAGCATCAAGGATGGGGATCATAATAAAACTACTTGCGTGACAAGGTACGAGGCCTTCGAGTTTCAAGTTATGCCCTTCGGGCTTACTAACACCCCGGCCACCTTTTGTACCCTCATGAACGAGGTACTATGGGAGTTCATTGACCGATTTGTGGTGGTGTACCTGGACAATATCGTGATCTACAGCAACACGGTGGAAGATCACCTGGAGCATTTGAGGTATGTACTGGCTAGGCTTCGGGAACATGAGCTCCATGCCAAACCATCAAAGTGTTGTTTGCTTATCAGAGGATTAATTTCTTAGGACACATTATTGAGCCTCGCAAAATCTGCATGGATCCTAAGAAAATCCAAGCTATCACGGACTGGAAGCCGCCTAGTAATGTCACAGAACTTCAATCGTTCCTTGGACTTTCAAACCATTGTCGATGTTTTGTGAAGGATTATTCCACGATAGCTTTACCTCTGACGAACTTGCTCAAAAAGGGGAAGAGATGGAGTTGGGAACCTTCGTGTCAACTTGCGTTTAAATGGATTAAGACGAGCAAGTCCACTGACCCTGTAGTTGCACTGGCCAACATGTTGAAACCCTTTGAAATGCACACAGAAGCCTCAGATTTGCTCTAGGTGGAGTGTTGATGCAGGAAGGCCACCCAGTGGCATATGAGAGTCACAAGCTAAACGGCGCTGAAAGCCGCTACACTGCCCACGAGAAAGAACTGCTAGCCGTTGTGCATTGCCTACGTGTGTGGAGACATTATCTGCTGGGAGCGCCCTTTGTGGTGAGGACAAACAATACCGCTGTTAGTCATTTCATGACCCAGCCGAAGTTGAATAGCAGACAGGCACGATGGCAAGAGCTACTCACCAAGTTCAATTTCACATTGGAGTACAGAGCGGGGAAGACAAACCAGGTTGTAGATGCCCTGAGCTGAAAGGGACAACTTTTAGTCCATCACATGTTGGTCTTAAAGGGGAGTGAAGTTTCTACAGGCATCAACGACCAGATCCGTGACCTTCTGAAGGTGGATCCGGGTGCAATGAACCTGGTTGCACTTGTGGAGCAAGGAAGGGCTAAGCAGTTTTGGCTTAGCGACGGCCTCCTTTATACGAAGAAACACCGCCTCTATGTTCCTAGGGGTAGCGAGCTACGCAGAAAGATCATGAAGGAGTGTCATGATACCTTTTGGGCGCAACACCCTGGAGCTGAACGGACCTTGGCGTTGGTGCAGAGAGGGTACTTCTACCCATCTATGGTGGACGATGTGGACGACTTCATTCGCACTTGCCTTATCTGGCAACAAAATAAGCGAGATCATAACAAGAAGGGTGGGCTCTTGAAGCCTCTTCCAGTGCCCCGCAGACCTTGGGAAAGCGTATCGATGGATTTCATTTGCAGACTAACGAAGATCGGGGACCTTGTGACCATCTTGGTGATAATAGATTGCTTTTCCACGTATGCTATGTTCATCCTGGCACCCCAATATGTTACAACAGAATAGACGGGCTTAGCTCTTCTTCAAGTTTGTTGTGAAACATTGGGGGCTCCCTCGGGATATTGTTAGTGATTGTGACTCACGGTTCACTGGCAAGTTTTGGACCGAACTCTTCAAGATCCTTGGGTACAAACTCAATATGAGCTCCGCGGCACACCCCGAGTCGGACGGCCAGACCGAGCGCTTCAATGGCATGCTGGAGGAATACCTTTGGCATTTTGTAGCGGTCAACTAGAAGAATTGGGCGCAATTGCTGGATGTTGCCCAACTATGCTTCAATGCTCAGCAGAGCTCATCGACTGGGAAGAGTGCCTTCAAGGTCGTTAATCGGTAGCAACCCCTCTTGCCGCACATTGTTGAAATTGTTGGTAAAACGAGGTCTCCCCAGGCCATCAACTTCTCTCGGGAATGGAAACGTAACATGGACATTACCCGCAGCCATCTTGAGAAAGTCATCCAGTGGATGAAGAAGTATGCCGACCAAGATCGATGCTTCGTGGAGTTCAAGGTTGGAGACAAAGTGATGGTGAAGTTGCCTAGCCAATTCCAAAACCGTAGCATCTGTGATAGGGACCCTCAATTGCTACAGAAGTACATCGGCCCTATTACCATCCTGAAGAGAATTGGAAAGGTTGCCTATGAGATTGACCTGCCCTCCTGGTGGAAAATTCACCCGGTCCTGCATGTTAGCCTACTGAAGTCATTTTACGAAGACAAAGAGGAGCTAGACCGGGGCCAATCACAACGCTCGGGGCTCAATATCCAAGCTCTGGGGAAGCGAGTTGCGGAGGAGATTCCTACGGATCGGATTGCCAGACGATCGCTCAAAGACCAATGGGAGTTTCTCATCAAGTGACGTGGACGCGGAGAAGCGGAGAACACCTGGGAGCTCGAGAAGAACCTGCAGGCCTTTCAGCCACTGATCGAGCAATACCTCTCCATGGCGCCGAGGACGTCGCCAAATCAAGTGGGGGGGACTGTTGAAGGGGGGCTTTTTCCCCTTTAGCACCATGCAGCACCTTTAACACCTACATACAATGAAGACCTTGTGCCAAGCTCCTTGTAATAGATAGGTCTTTGTTGTTCTTGTAAATAGTAGAAGTAGATGTAGAATGGCATTCTTGTAATTTTGGATGTTCACAAAACCATTCAAAAGACCATGGTGGTCTTTTGAGTGGCTTTTCTTTGAGCGAAAGTTTTCCCTATTCCTATCACTAGGGTATTTGCTTTTTAGACTATATTGAGGGGAGTAGCCAACGAGAATCTAAGCAAGTGAACGGGTTTCCCTCTCCCCGATTTCACGTTGCTTTCCTTTTAATCTTTGCCACTTTCACTAATGTAAAACAAGTTTTAGCTTAAAATTTGCCTATGCCTTTGTATTTGAAGTGCAGTAGAGCATTGCCTCGTGCTCCTCGGTACTCTAAAGGTAGACCTGCAACCCTTGCCGTCTATTGAGTGCGACGCCCGAGCAATTCTTAGCAAAAGTAGCATCCAACGTGCTGCTTGCCACACGGATTTCCTAACGGGTCAAAGGACCGCCCCGTGACACGCAGTGATGGGCGGTAGCGTGCGATGATGGAGGTAGTTCGGTGGTGGTGGATGAAAATTGTTTAAAAGTAATATTTAAGATGAATTTTGAAATATAAACAAAACAGTTGTATTTCATGGGGATTTGGTTGTAAGGGGCAAGTTTTTTTTTTTTTTTGCTTGCTTTTATACACCGCCTAATTATTAATCGAACTATAGTATGATTTCTAATAAACTTAGGCTTTTGTATATTGAGTCTATATGTGATTTTCCTATGATCTTAATCTCCGTTTTCATTCTCGATCTTGTTTGTTTTCTGATTATGAAGTCCCAGGCGGTACATTTATCCCCTAAACTCGTACCCTTTTGATTATGGATAATTTGGTTTGGACACATAGGAAGATATCCTTACTAGTACTGGAAATGGGGTTGCTTCTATTTCAATTGTCGCCTCCTCATTTTTTAGATGAAAAATTTGTTTGATAAGGCTCTTAGCAATAATGAATAGCCATAGTTGAAAACTGTTCAACTAGAGGCTAAACTTAAGAGAGCTGAAAATGGTGAAATAATTAGTACAAAAGAAATGACAAATTTGATAGAAAGTCTAAAATGTATTAAGTTGCGGATGTATCAACTGAACTCAAAGAGTATAAGAACATTCTCATTCTTTTTACCAATCGGTCCCACAGCAACATTAATAGGTCAAACTCAAGACCAATGGTTCATAGTTGGTTTTGAAACTAGGATTTACAAAGAAAATTTTTGAAATGGATCTAGATAGTGTGATATTGTTGGTAAGCAAACACCAGATGCACACAATTATGAAGAAATAATCCGGAGAATAAATGATTTGCTTAATAAGCAGTGGGAAGGAGTAAAATTACAATGTGCACCTAGGAGACTAATAATACAATAGAATATTTGAAAAAGTTGGCCTTCTCTTATCTAGAAGGAAAAATGAAGATGTTTTTGGGCCTGCCAAAAAGAAATGTGCCTCTTTTTCTCCATCTTTGAGATATTGAAGGGTCTCCTTATCAGTGGCCGATGAAATAAAGATGTTTTTCTTTCATACTACTTTCATACTTTTAAGGGTTTGGGTTCCCGCAATAAAACTTTATTATTTGTGTTTGGCATGAATAGTTTTAAGTTGTTTCTGTTGTCAATTGTTGTTTATTGTTGTAGTTCTATTTGTATCATGTGATGATGCTTTGGTAATAGAATGATTTCCATAAATATGTAACTGACGATATGTTTTCGATTGGGGAGAGGGGAAGTCTATATGTTATTTAACTCCTTGTGAGTGTTTTAGTGAAAGACTTTAGCTTTTTTTTTTAAGAAAAGAAAAAAATATTAATAAAATTTTGTGTAATGTGATCCATAAATGTCCCAAGGTATGATGTTTATCCTGAAAATGTTATTAGGAGTGATTCTCTATTTCATTATTGTTTTCTAGTGTTTTTTCTATTGTTTCTTCTAGTTCTTAAGAAAAATCTAACTCATGGCTATATTAAAATGATAATAATAATAATTAAAAAAAATCTAAGATCTGATTTGTAATCACCATACTTCTACAACATCACATGGGTATCTAATAAAACTAGAGAGGCGGACGAGGAGAAACTAAGATTCAACGTATTTTAATGGTTTGCCTTTGAAATCACAACGCCCGATCATTTTAATCCCTAGAGTGGAGTTTCATAACTAGAGTGGAGGTTTGTATTAGGATGATGAAATAGTTTTTTAACCACCCTATAAAATATAAAGTAAAGTACAAATTTCATTCCTAAAATAGTTTGATATATTATAAGTGTAAATTTTAAATATGAGTTTTCCGTTTTCTTCTGCTAGCACAAATTTCAAATCATATATTTCTAAATAAAATTTTTATTCATATTGCACCTAAACATTTATTAACAAAAAACCAACATATGAATATGACCAACATGATTCTTTAACTGATCAAGTCAAACAACAAGAATCATTATCATTTTATTTTTTAAAAATAGGTTATAGGTTTGTTAAGAAACTCCCTTTTTTCGGCATTATGTATGTCAAAAAAAAAAACATACCAGTATTTTAAACATGCTAGTCCCACTTTTTATGCAACAAAAACAAAATTCAACATAAGCGCTTGGAGTTTTGAGCTTACCTATTATACAGTTATCCGCATCCTTATCTTGATAAATACAAAGGGTAGCATTGAACAGAAAGTATGTAGCACCAAAAAACTGTATCGCAGTAATTGCTATTGCAATGCGTGTACAACATATCCACCTTCTATGTCTCTCATGTTTATTAAGAAGCACAATAAAAAGAAAATTTGAAATCAATTAAACATTGCTCATTGATAATAGAAAAATATGACCCCTTTTAGCAAGCAATTCTTATTCCTTTTTACTTAGAAATTAGTGTCAATTAAGTATAGAATTAGTTTACTTTTCGGTTGATTTTACATTTCAGGGTGATCAGAGGGCCAAAGCAGAATTTTCTAGAATTATCGGGTCAAAAGGTGAAAAAGAACATCAAAAAGGACCAAAATTTGATGTTGCTGGAAATTGAGGATGGAAATGATCGATTGAGGAAAAAAAGAAGTTGATTTCATACTCCTGAAGAAAGATTGTTGTCACTCGGGTAAGCAATAAATTCACTTACCCGAGTGGCATCGCTGCTACTATTGCTGATGGCACGTGAACCAAAAAGGAGCTGCTCAAATGGAAGGCCCAAGAATCAGATTTTTGAAGCTTTATGGAAGCTTAGAGGCTAAGCTAGGAGGCTGATTTGATGATTGCTAATTTTGTGCCTGAAAAAGGATGTCAAAAAGAAGAGGGAAGACAACTTGTCTACTTGCCCACTTGGTATTCCTAACTTGTCAACTTGCCCACTTGGTAATTCCAACTTGCCATGGAACAATCCCAAAGGTTCCACTTAACAACTTGATTTCATGGAGATTAAAATAGTAACAAGTGGCCTCCTCCAAGTACTATATATAGACACAATCAGCTGCAAGATGGAATCAATCAAGAAAGTAAGGAAGAGAGTTAGATATAAACACAAAGGATGGAGCAGCTAGGAGGGGCAGATTCTGCCACCGAGGGAAGTGAGAAGATAACTCGTGGAAGTGACCTGAAGACAGCAGTAATTCCCTGAGTTCTTTCTCCTTCTCTTAGCTCTTTCATTTGTTTTGTATTGATGTTTAATACTCTATAATGAATCCTTGTGTATTAGTATCAGTAGTTATAAGTAGCTAAACTCTTTCTAGAGTCTAATCCCTCTCATCTATACAAGTGTGTTTTGGTAATGCTCCTATATGATTTATTTTTTCAAGTTTAAGTGTTTTAATTAACCTTTTAGTTAAACTGATCACTTAGTTGTCCATGCATAATGATAGAATCTTGAGAGGGTGAGCATAATCTTAGAACTCCTTGAACTAGTCCATGACAATGGGAATGACAATCCTTGTTTTCAATAGACAATGAAAGTTAGTTGATTAGCATTGGTGATCAATAAGGCTTAGGTTCTTAATGGCTTGGGGTAATGAATAATTATCATAGAGATGGAGGTAATTTGGTTATGTCGGGACTCTTTCCCGGCATTAAACATGAATGTAGGGAATATATGTGCATGATCCGACAATATTCATGTGTGCAAAAGGATTAAATAAAACCATAACACAACTATATAGAGATGAGTGGAGGATGAACCTAGGTTCCTTTTCTGTTTATTATTTTGTTTGTCCACTTGGGAAGTGATATTCTCACTTGCCCTAGTAATAGTTATATTTTATCTTCATGATATTCTCTCTGCCATCATTTCCTTGAATCATTTGGGGTTAATTAGAGTTTCACCTGTCCTTGTGAGATGACCCGACTTACTGCTACTACAATATTAAGTTGGTTAATTTTTTTAGTGGATTCGACACCCAGCATTCATCCAAACATCGTAAGTAATAAACATGGACTTTAAGAATCACAAGTCTTTTTTCCTTTGGATCAAAGATTAATTTCTTTACCACCCATATAAAAACCCAAAAATTCAATTAAAATAAGGGATAAAAGAGAGAAACTTTTGAGAGTTGAGGACACATTAGAAGATAAATCTTTGTAAGGCAGTCTCTTTTGTTTTGGGTAAGTCTTAAGCACTGCTGGTGTACTCTTTTTTCAAAATATTAATAAAATCGGGGGGATGCCCACCAGGTACCGTCCTGGTTCACCTAAAAAAAAGAAGGTTGAGGAAGAAACGAGTAAAATTAAGAAAAACTTTTTTAGTTTAACTTTAATTCGGATTGCATAAAAATATTTATATTTAGTATTTATATCTTTGATTATATTATGATGACATTTAGAATGACTAAACATGTATTAGATAAGTTAAAAATAATGAAAAATAGTGTATTCCCTAAGGAAAATGTAGACAACAGAGTGAGACTTTTGTAAATTAGCCATAACTCTTTATAAAGAATTCCAAATTACGAGTCTTATAGCAATCTATCTTTATCTCAATTTGTACAATTTATTATTGAAAGATGGTGAGAGTCAAATTGTACATCTAAAAGCAAGCAAAAGTTTGCCTCTTTCAACTTGTAAACTAGTTTA